CTTATTCGGATAAACTTGATAAAGTAACACATTGATATTCTTTTGCTTATTCGGATAAACCTTAAGCGATACCTTTCAAAGGGGGTTCCTTTAGAGCCGTTTGACATAACGATTAGTCTAGGTCAACAAAACCTTTAGTGGACCCCTCAAACCCTAAACATTATTTTGCACTAGCCACGTAATGGGATATAGGAGCAGCACATCTCTATACCACCATTTAAAGGGATGCATCAACACTTGGCTTGCGGTTAGACATTGTAGAGGTTTGGTCATTAAAGAGTAGGGTTGGTCATACAATCACCACTGAATAAGGCCCACCACCTTATAGCTGACTTAAGACTTTCATGACTTTCCTATCGGTAGGGATAAACCTAGGGGTGTAAATAGGGCGGGTCTGGGTTGGTTAGACCGTAAGCCAATAGGTTCCAAGGTGGGCCTAGACCCTGGTGGTTGGTGCAGCTCGAACAGGGCTAGATTTGGTTAGGACAACCCAGACTAATCTTGCTCGAAGGTTCGGGTTAGACTTGGACATGGACCACATTCACTAGGTGCACCTGCAAGTATAGACTTAGACCCATCCCGTTTCGAGCCAAACCGATTATCACCCTTAGACAAACTCAATTTGGTTCACAAACTTGATCTTAAAGCCCTACCAAATCAAGACTAATGGACACAACATCTATGAGTCCTATCCATGTTAATCTGCCAAAGCTCGCTACATCTTGAGCTGGTCTACCCACACATCCAACCTTTCTCTACTGGCGGCAACCAGATGGGGTAGCCTTGGACCTAGCCAAGCCCTAGTCCAACCTACAAGGCCAGCCCGAGCCCAACCCTGGCTAAAGAGGCTTTGGCCCTAGCCCTGTCAAGGCAAGGCTGGCCCAAATACAATAAAGGTAAACAATAAGGAAAAAAGGAGCCTGGCAGGCTCAAACCATGCCGGCCTTATCATGGACATGGCCTAGGCCTAGGCCAGGTCCAATCCTATTCTCAAGCTATGGTGTCCGTTCTCTATGGTCACATTTTGTGGTGCATGCCCTAGGTTTTTAGGGCGAGGCCGGTCCAACCGGATCGTTGCCAACCCTAACTTTCTCCTCTAGCGTGAGAATTTGGTTATATACCAAAATGTCTAAAGATAGTGACTTGGAGCCTCACATGGACTAGGCTTATAAAGATTGCATTTCGACCCTTTATTTGCATGGATCCTCCCATCATGCAATGTGTATGTGGGTGCCTAACTTTGCTTGAAAATGGGCTCCACAATCAGTAACGTGTAATTGGCTTAGGCATGGATGGCCCGGACATTATAGCTCACAGATAGGTACATAAACTTGAATTATATAATGGATGTGGTTTGTGTAAGGCCGAGGCCCTAAACAATTAAAGTAATGCGCACCTTCATATAGTGTCAAAATATGTTTTATCAATTATGGAAATCTTTGTGGTAGCCTGAAAAATTATCTTCATCTCTAATTATAAAATTTAAAGCTTCAAAAATAGTGTAAATCGATCAGATCTATGAACATTTGAAAATCTTGAAAATTGAAGGTCCGAAATGCATTACAAGATGTGTTATTTCCATGACTTGAAATCCATGTTTTCACTTGTCTATGCATCTTGATGTTGAGATGATCAACTTGAAGAATTTTGGGCATCTAGACAACGTCTTCTAATAAACTTTTGAAGTACGCCTTAATTTGATTCTTAGAACCTCACCCTTATATAAAAATTTTCCTTATATAATTATTCTCTACCGTTTAGGGCTTGTTTGGATGCTTTTGCCGGCAGTTATAATTGACTATTTCAATGAGGTTAACCCCGACAATAAATTATCTGTTGTTTGACAATGTCACTTGTAAAGTTGTCTGAGATAAACTTACAAACAATTTTACAGGTAACTTTATCAATTTAAAATAAAATATACTGCAAGGAAAACATATTTCAGGCCAACATAGCGGCCCATTTGTGAACCAAAATCCTCACATTTCCTGCCGTGAGCTCAACTAGTTCTAAGTCCTCTAGGCCCCTGCAACACTAAAAAAACACAAAAAAGAAAAAGGAATCGGTTATTTAAAGGGCTAAAAAATCTCCTTGTCAAAATCATTAAAGAGGTCGAAAGATCTCAAATAATCTTATAAATTTATTTTTTTAAGTTTGCATTTCAATCAAATTCCTCCATCAAAAGAGTATTAAAAAATGCTCTAATTATCACTATTTAGGGTTAGAACTTTGAACAAATAAAGGTAGTGCACTCATTTTGAAATTATTCTGATATGCCCTTCATTCGGTTATGGCCTTCTAGGTTGAAATGCTACTGCTTGTTCAAGGTTCTCATTGCACAAGGACAATTTTGATATCTTAAGAGATTCTCTAAGGAGTTATTTGACAAATGAAAATTAAAAAATAAATCTTCTAATGTTAATTAGATTTAATTGACTCCTTTGATTATTTTGTAAGGGCTTTTAACCTCTCTAGGGATATCATTATAATGGCATGGTTATATATATATATATATATGAAAATACTACAAAATGCCTTTGAGCAAAAATGAACAGTGATATCGCATACCCTCATCATCATCTAAACTTCATCGCATGGTCACAATTGTCTGATAGTATTTCAATTTTTCATTTTTTTTTACGAATCATAATGATCTAAAATTTAGATCATGTGTACATCTTAGTGACGCACATCTAATAAAAATATGAAAAAAATAATTCGTAAATAAAAATTGATCAAAATACCCCTAAAATTTTATGAGAGCATT